TATATATATATTAACATTCATCAATTGATTCGTTCGTTAAAACGTAATTAACGGCTAAAAATACTGATTTGATTAAAATATTTGTTTTATCAAAGCCGTAGGAAAATGAATGAGATAAAAAGAAAGGAAGAAAAGAAATAATAAAGAACGAAATAGAAAAGAAGGAAGAGCAAGAAGAAAGAAGAAACTCGATATAAATCGTATAATCGTGGTAAAATAGGAAAGGGTGAAAGGGGTTTAAGGGTTTGGGGGTGTAGGGAGGTAGTTGTGGAGAGGTGTGGGATGTGGGATAGCTCGCGGCTCGCATCGATCGACCTACGAACCCTCGTATGAAAGGTCGTCGCACAGCCCATTCAGTAGCTTGACTGACGATTGGCGAATGGCACCTAATTAGTAGATTATTATAGTCGATTAGATCTCGCGCTGTGTTTCTTCGACCGTGCACATTAATTTGTGTGGATGTAGTACCATCATAGGGTACACAAGAGGTAACACACGAAGAAAGAGAATAAAGACATACACACACATACACATACTAACATGAAATTATCTAACGCGTGTATAATTTTAATCTTTCCCTTATGTACCCTTGAAGGAAATTCATTTTGTACGATTTAATTTCAATTATTCGATTAGGATACGATACTAATTCTAGGTAACAAGTATATATATATATATATTTATATATAGGGTACACCATAAGAAGTGATCTCTCTAAGGAATTAATTATTAATGAGATTAAATGCGATCAATATAATTATTATGTTTAATGTTATATCTAATATTAATATTTGATACTTTTCAAGTTTATTAGTTTCAGATTATTATGTTCATTTATTTAATGATAATTTTAACATACATATGTATATATTTAGGTAATTATAATAATAGATTAAATAAAAAAGATTTATCGCATATTAAATTCATATCGTCGTAAAACATAAATTATTAAATTAATATCGTCCTAGTTACGCATGTCTTATGAAAAAATATTTTTCTTAAACAATTCTTTTATATTTAGAGAATAATTATGCAAAAATTATATGCTGTAATCTAATTTCAGACATATCTTTTTTTAAGGGAAATACTTCTTTTTTTATATTTTTTTTTATGACGAACCCTATAATAACATATATATACTTGTTACCTAGAATTAGTTAAATTCGATTCTTAGGAGAGAGATCGTATTGTTCGATTTAGAAAAAGCAAAAGGACGGAAGACAGACTGGTAAATTTTGAAAACGTGATATTTCGTTGTCGCTCGTTATCATAACGCAAAAATGTTAAGAGTCTCTCGGTACACTCGGTGATGTTGAATGTGGGGTGGTAGTGATGACAACGACGAAGAAGACGACGAATCTCTCTAATTATCACGAAGCGACTAGGCGTTAATTATATCCGTTAAGACAGAGAAATTCGCGGACGAGAGAGATAGAGAGAGCGAGCGAGATAGAGAGAGAGAGAGAGAGAGAGAGCGAACGAGAAGAGAGAGAGAGAGAGAGAGGCACGATAATTAAGTGGGAATCGTGTCAGGCAATCTAGAATACCGAATGAGCTAGTCGACCAAAGTAGTTGCAAGTAGTAGTAAGTAGTTAGTAGTAGTAGTAGTAGTAGTAGTAGTAGTAGTAATAGTAGAAGTAGTAGTTAGTAGTAGTAGTAATAGTAATAGTAATAGTAGTAGTAGTAGTAATAATAATAATAACAATAGTTAGTAGTAGTAGAAGAAGAAGTAGAAGAAGAAGTAGAAGAAGAAGAAGAAGAAGTTAGCTTGGCTAAAACCGAAACAACCGTCATTATTATTTCTATATAGACGAGGTTACGAAGCAAAAGCTGAAGGACGGACCGCGAAGGTGAGTGCGAAGGTGTTGGTGCGGCGTGTAGTGGATATTGTTCTGGTTCTTGTTCTGGTTCTTGGGGTCGTTAGAGAAGGTCGACGACCGGTTTGCCAGGCCGGTGGTGTCACCAGGCCATTGCATTCCGCAGCAGAAATCCGCATCTGTAACACCCAACAGCCCTTGCCCACGTTTCATCCTTTTTTTATTATACCTTCTTTTTGTTATGTTTTTTTTGTTTGCTTTTATTTTTTTATTATTTTATTTTTTATTCAAATTGTTGCTTCCAATTTTAATTCTTTCCTTATCTTTTATCTTATATATATATATATCTTTTGGGTATAATTTGTCGGGACTAATATATATATATATTCATTTTATATATTTAATTATTTTTTGCTTTCTATAGTTTATTTGATTTTATTTACTCTCTAAGCATCGATTATTAAACAGACATCAATTGATTCTCTCTGTATATTGCCCTTTTTATTAGAGTGATCGGGCTGGTGATTCGCAAAACGATTAAGAGTGATGACGGAGGAGAAGTGTTGTAAAGGGGTGGGGTAGGGGTGAAGGATTGGTCGTAGTATATTGCGTTATAGAGTATCGAGTGTGTATTTAGAGTGATCGCGATTGAAAGGGGGGTTGGTTACCAGTCGCCGAAACACCATACAACCTTTGCCCACGTCCCATCCTTATTTTTGTATTTATTTATTTATTATTCTTCACCCTTTCTTATATCGACGAAAGAGTTATTATTATCCTCGTCGTTGCACTCGCTTTTTTACGACCCCCGCGTATAAGATTAAAAAATTTTATTAACGCAAGACACTGAATTCGAACTACCAAGTTTTATATTACTTTTTCCTATCTCTAAATCTGATAATTTATTGGAAAATCTTCTTTTATAAACTTTTTTTTAACTTTAAGATCAATAAAACGATTCATTATCATACCAAATAGAATTATACTAAGGATAATTGGTATTTGTTCGAGAAAATTCTTCGTCGATATTGGGCAATAACTTTGGCAAAATTAAAATGATCTCATTCTTTTTTTTTTTAATATAATTTCATATTCTTTTTTTCACATTTTTCACATTAAAATAATAAATTTGGTTTAAGCGACAAGATCGTCCATTTTCACATTTTCCTTTCCTTTCCTGATGTTATATTATTTTGTTTGTTTGTTTTTTTTTTTAACCATTCTCGTATTAAATTCAGTATCAATTCAGATTTGAAAAAGAACATAAAGTAAAAAAAATAAAATAGAATGAAACAAAATGGAATAATCATTAAAATCAGTTCGATATTACAAATGAATAAAAAGATATTTTCAATAAGAAATATTTTCAAGTAATAAATACGAATAATCTTGAGGGCAGGCTAAGAAATTGAAAAAAGTTAGGTTAGTAGACGAGAGAGGAGGAGCTATACACAACTCCCAGTATATATGCGTGTCACTCTTGGCATCCATTGGCTTGCGAATGCCATTGGCATGAATCTATTCAGCCGATTGTAGCCATGCTGGCACACTGCACTTACAGATGCACGCGCTCACGATATCTACAGATTTGGCAAGAACTTGTCAATATTTTCCTCTTTCATGCTCTCTTTCTCATTCTCTCTCATTCTCTCTTTCTCACTTTTGCATACACAAGCTTACTTTACTCGAGAGATCGAAGAGAATTTCAAATCCATCTTTTTATCGGATCAATAATACGACATTTTTTGAATTTTTTCGTTAGAGAGAGAAATATAATTTCAAATAAAAAATAAAATCTACGATAAGAAGAAGAAGTACGGAAACTGCATTGTGTATAGTTTATTAAAAATATAATTCCTCGAAAGTTAAGTATTATACGAAGCTTTTATTCTTTTCTTTTTCTGACCAACCGAAGAATTCAGTTCAAATGGATAGAATGTAACAAAGATAAAAGGAAGAAAAAGACAATGCGAGATTAAATAAAAAAAAAGAAAAGTATAATAAAAGAATAAAGTGAGAGAGCCAATTAGCAAAGCATCTTAATTGATCTTCGCAAGATTGCATAAGCACGTGACTTTAATTCGATTATTATAAGACTTGATCGTGACTCTCGTAGATGTACGTGAGTAGATACATAAATGTGCACATACTGCATATATTATTTATATGTACATACATTATATATATATATACGGATAATAGTGAGATAGAAGATTACAGAAATAGAAGAGAAGTCAGCGGGTTCGTGTCGCTGAATAAGTTTATGACTTAATGATCTAACTATGAGAAGCTTTCTCTTCTCGTAATTTCTTTTCTCGCGATTAATCAACTTGCCGATGCAGACATCAAGGAGTCAGCTTTGTGTTGAGGAAAGTTATCGAAGAAAAGATATAAAAGCCTCTTCCAGATCTCTTTCTTTCTTTTTCTCTTAGTCACTCATTCTTTATTTTTCTTTCTCTTTCTCTCTCTCTCTCTCTCTCTCTCTCTCTCTCTTTCATTCATTTTTTTGTTCTTCTTCATTCATACATTTTTTTCTCTCTGTATTTTTTTTTTCTTTATTAAAGTTTATAAAACCGAGCTTTTCGATTTCCTATATTAAATACGTCTTATACCATTTCTGGTATTTATACTCCGTGTAATTACAATATTTCATAATACAACTTGGATAATTTCAATATCAAGCTGCTAAATTATTTCTGCATGAAAAAAAATACTAACTACTGCTATGCATCCTTTAACAAATTTCACGATAACAGCTAAAAGGATACGTTTAAAAGCTCCGAAGTTTTATAGAAGATATCCAACGAAAAGAAATAGAAGAAGAATAAGTAGAAGAAGTATAGAGGAATAAGCAATTTTAAGAGAAAAGTTGAGAATCGACACACAACTGCATTGTAAAACATTGAATTTCGAAATATTACAAATTTGCTAGCTTCACGGTCAGCTTTTAATATCAACGAGATAATATAGAAAAAAAAGAAATAAAAGAGAAAGAAAAAAAGATGGAAAATAAGAAGGAAAAGAAAAAAGTAAAAAAGCCTTTCTTCTACCGAGAAAGCAGAGACGGTGCCGTTTTTAAAAACAGCAATCGTTTTGAGACAATCTAAAATGCTGCGCATGTGGTGTTCGATGAAGCCGAAGTGCTCGAAATAGAAACAACTAATTCGCAAAGTGCCTAATAAGTCTCCTGAGCTTTTTCTACGAGCGATAGCTAGAAGCTGTTGCTAGCTGTTGGCTGCTGTTATTGTTACTGCTGCTAGCTGCTTTGCTACGGGCTGTTACTGCTGCTAGTAATAGTACGTCCGCTTATCACACTTGTTTCCATTTACCAGAGAGAGAGAGAGGATATATCTGATAAAAGCTTTTTCCCCCTAGCGAAATGCTCTCGTTTAAACTATCGAACGTAAAATCGAATATATACGAGTGTAACCAAAATCGGAATAAACTATATTTTCTATTATTTTCTATTTTATTTTAATTTATTTTTCTTTACCGTTGCGTGCAAATTATGACAATATAGAAATATTATTGTAAGATATTCAACAAATTTTGTATTTTTTATAAAATATTAAATCAAATTATTAAGTTGGTGCATATAAAATGTCGTTTTTGTTTTACATGCAAACGTTTCTCTTCCTGTTGTTGTTATGCTTTTGTTTTTGACATAACCTCTTTTATAGTCGTACTGTCTATTGCTAGAGCAACATTTTAATATAGGAAATTTTCTCAAAAGTGCTTCCTTTTATTATTTGTTTTGAATTTTGTACCGATATGAATTCCACCGAAATTCGTGTAATTTTCTTGTATAAGTATAAACTTGGTAATAATGCTGCAATTCACTTAAAAATCCGACAATTCATATGCACCAATCTAATATTAGTAAAATAGTAATTTAACACAATTATTAATTTGATTGAATAAATATTTATATCAAATTTGCATTTCACCACTGACATAGAAAATATAAACGAAGGAATTTCCTTGATACAAATTTGACGAGTAACGATTATAACGTAAGTTATATTGTTTTAACAAATAAATAAATACGATTTACAAAAATTCAATAAATATTACTAATTATCCTCTAGCTGGAAATGATTGTCAAATGGGGAAAAGTTAAACGATTAAATCTACCACGGGAAACGAAAAGAGTGCATATTTATCTAACTATCCGCTTAACTCTGGTGAAATAATGCGTACGTCGATGAGTGGCGTCGGTTGCTTTTCCATCGCATTTAAAACAAGCTTCTCCGTTTATAACGCGAATAGCTTTGCTAGAGTTGGTATTTCCTACGTGCCGCTCTTTGTCGATCGATGAGAGAGACTCGATAAACGTAGAGCACAATACCGACAGCTTGTCCTTGTTCACCGAAATTAACTCGTTTATAACAGAATATATTAACGAGGGAGAAACTCTTCGTTTAATAATTAAACGATAAAGATGAATGAGAAACTTCATTAAATTAGAGATCATTTTCTTGGAATTTCAATGAAATTTTATCTTCTCTTTCTTTTTTTTTCTTCTGTTTTCTACTTCGTTTCACAATAATTAGCAAATTATTATTAATATAATAATATTCTTTTATATAATGTTTTTAAGTTATTATAAATATTTTGTTTTTTCTTTTATTTAGCTTTAAACTAATTCATTGCAATAATATTTATTGATTTACCGTTATCTTCTATTCTTACTGAAATTATAAATCTTTTTTATTTAAAAAAAATATTTTAAATAAAGCATTCACAATGCGTATTAAGAAGAAATTAGGTGAACCTAATAACGTCTGTATATGCTTTGAGAATCTACTCTGGTTTATAGAAGTTAGAGTGCAAAGGGTAAAACGATCAAGGAAATTCTCTCATTGTGTAGTTCGCGTGAGTGGTAGTGAATAAGGTCCGTCAAAGGTCGGACATAGTAGTCTCTCCGATTTGGCTGACCTCTCGTAGACTTTCTCTACTGAACAAACTTCACTCTTTCCCTCTTTCTCTAATCTTTCACTTGCTTTCGCTTACATACATACGTACATACATACCCACACATATACATACACGAAACCTAAAAATAAATTCTCACACATTCGAACGCATACAGAAACTTTCATATTTGACTCTTATCTTTCTCACTCATATCTCTTCGATCGTTTATCTCGTCGCTTTCATTATCATTATCATTATCATTATCATTATCATTATCATTATCATTATCATTATCATTATCATTATTATCATTATCATCATCATTATGAATGGGTCGATCTTATATAGAGAGTACCCTTTCGACGAGGGGTGAGCAGTGAGCTGTGGTTGTGTGGTGCTGTGTGGTGGTAGCGGTGCCGGTGATGTTCGAGGTGCTCTGGATGGTCGGGGTCATTGGGTACGAGGTCAGGGGTGTAGTCATCTTGGCGGGTGTGGGGCGGGGGCCTCAGTGTACCTTGGACCGGGGGCAGAAGCCGCTTGTCGTAACGAGCCGTCTGCAGCAGATCGTCCAGAATCTCCTTGTCCGATTTGCCCTCCTCGAAGCTGCAACACAACTCACTATATGTACAATATGATACGTCCAATTTCATACTTTTCTTTTCTTTTTTTTAAATTTATTCTTAAAAGTAAGCTCGTCCACGACGAAAAAATATCTCTTCGTATCGAACAGAAGAAGAATTACAGGATATTTTTGTTTTGGCTTTTGTCCTCTTGCTCGAACCCGATGATTTTCCTTGCGAACACACAGAAACGTTTGTTCTCTTTTCCCCTATTTTTTCAAAGGAGGAGGATGAGGATCTCGAAGTAGTTCGAAAGAAATCGAAAGTTGTTTAGAAAACTTTTTACCATACTAACGTATATCTTTATAACTTCTTTTTTTTTTTTAACTCGTATATTATAACTCGTATAGTTTGTTACTCGAAAGCGAGTCAATTTTTTTACCAATATTTCGTATACTTCAATGTGATCGCGAATACTGTTTGAAAGAAATAACTATAGGAATGGAATAGTTTTGCGTGATTGATCTTGTCTGATCATGCGTATACTTTTACTACTAATTTTTCCTTTAGAAGTGAATTCTATTTCTTTCTTTATCTTTTTTCTTTTATTTTGTATCTTTCACTTGCTTTTTAAATGTAATGAAAATTGAATATCGATCAGTTCGACTATTCGAGGTCCTTTTTATCTAATGATCACGAAAATAGTCTACACTGTTATCTCAAATAATCTAAATGTAACATATCTACAAACACATTCGTTCGAATTGTATATATATAATATAATATTATAATAATAATAATAATAATAATAATAATAATAATAATAATAATAATAATAATAATAATAATAATAATAATAATAATAATAAAAAGAGCTACTAATTGAACAAGAAAAAACACTGCCTTCTAAATGTACATAATATTTAAATAGCATCTACATGACGTTTCCGAGCAAAATATTACATATATAATATAATATATATGTATGAAATAATATTTCGATCGTTTTTCTTTGATCGTGACAACATTACAATTACTAGATCATTTACTTACTACGTATATATAATATAATATAATATAATATAATATAATATAATATAATATAATNTAATATAATATAATAATAATAATAATAATAATAATAATAATAATAATAATAATAATAATAATAATAATAATACTCGCTACGAAAGGTTTCCGATATGCACTTTGAACAATAAAATATCAGTTGCATTTGCAGAAATGAAGTAAAATTTTAATAGCAAGTATGTAATAAACAATCTGCTGGCCGAAATTGAGACGATAGTTATTACAATTGGCATCGACTGCGACTTTACAAAAAAAAATTCCTCTTTATAAATCAATAATAAAAATTTTAAAAATATAAAAAGAAAGAGGAAAATAGAAAATCATTAAAACCAATTTAGTAGCCGTCGTTAACGTTTTAATGAAGCGATTAGAAATTAATTCGATCATATAAAAGAAAAAAAAGTGATATTAAATAAAAATAAATTAAACAATTCTTGTTATTTATTAATAGATATAATTTGTTAAAATACTGATCGAGCTATTGTAATAATAAATGTCTTACTCGAACCCTTCTAAAGAAAGATATATATAATAATTATGGTGTTTTTTCCACTCGTCTTATTTAATTCTTAATTTTTCTATCATTTACGATCATCATTTGAAATAGTTGCAAATAGAAAAAATATATTTTTTTACTTTTAATGATTTGCAATGTTTATTATAAATGATTGAAAAAGAAAGATAGTTTGAAAAAAAAAGAAAAATAAAAAGAAGAAAAGATTATTATATTATTATTATTATTATTATTATTATTATTATTATTATTATTATTTGTGAGTTTTTTTTTGTAATACGTACATGTTGTTTTCGGCACGAACGAGACTGGCAAGAGTTAGAGCAAGTGTGAGGATACAGAGGATGGTAAAGATGAGGGAACTTGCAAGGGAGGTGAGAGACAGCGAGAGGATGGACGAGAGGCGGCCACCACCACCCGCACACCGCCCTAGCACCACCCAACCCATTCTATGTCATCTGTAACAACGAAATTTATAAATATTTATTATTATTGTTGTTATTATTTAGAAAATATTAAGGCAGATAAATTGCACAAAAATATTATATTATATGAAACATCGATATGTCTGATTATGAATAAAAAGATCTGAAAATTAAATGAGCGATAAATTATTGATTATATAATAATATTGTATGAAGTCATATATTATAGTAGTTACAATAATTTTAATCAATTGTGACATATTTTAACCTGCGATAGACTGAGATCAAATAATTTATATTAAAAGAATTAATAATATGTTATTATGTTAGATATATGTTCATATTTAAATATATATATAATATATTTTATACTTTATTTATTATATTATATTAATTATTAATATATTTATAATAGACATTAGGGTTATTTAGTTTTCTTATAAATACAAAAGTCAATTAGGTTTTTAAAGAACGGAGAATTTTTCAAATACGATATTTTAAGATAACTTAACATCCGTCAAGATTAGCATTGTTTATGCATTTAACGACTACAATGTAAGCCAGATGCAAGCTCGTTTACGTAAACAATAGGATCGTTAAACTGAAACTTGTTCCGAAGCGAGTGCCAAGATGTTTTAGATGAAAAAATAACAAACAATCCTTTGTTATACAACGGACTGCTTTCAATGATCATTGTCATGGCACCAATCAGATATCTACTCGAATTCGTTTACTTTCACTTCGAAACACGCTTTGTTCTATTTTATTGTACTTTCCTCAATACCACAGTTTAAGCTTTACAAAAAAATCGTGTTTCTAAATAATTAATTTTTTTACTTTCTCTGTTTTATCTTTCTGTTAACTTTACGTTCAATATTTCTTCAAACTTTTGCTTCTAGTCTCGTGAAAAATTTTCTTCAACGAGCATTGCGCTCATTTCATTCCGCATATAACTATTTACGAACCGAACAAAATATAATTTATCCTTAAAATAAATAATAAAGTTGAAATTACTATTTCTTACATTTTTCAATCTAAAATGATTAATAATATATATTAAATTATATATTTCATTATTTACTAACAATTTGTAATCTCACTGAACTTGGATTGGAAATATTTTATATATGAAAATTCTAACATTTTCCTTCGAAAAAAAATTGACTTTTTATATTATACTTTCTCTCTCTCTCTCTCTTTCTCATTTTCTTCGATCGATACGACAATCAAATTCTCAAAAGCAATAGACTAGAAAGGAATCGTCATCTTGGGAGAAGTTATATACTCAACGTACGTACATATGTACATACATAAATATCCAAACACGGACAGATAGAAAACGTCAGTGAGCCAGTTATAACGTGTGAAGGTAACGCAATATTTGCCACGTTGAAATTTCTCTCATGAGATCGTCGAGTGTTATTCGTCAGGGGCAAGGCTTTGCATTTTCCAGAGAATGAGCAAACCGCAAACACACGGTATCCTCTGAAACAGCCCGAGGCTGCTGTAGCTTCTTCTGCTTCTGCTTCTGCTTCTGGTGCTGGTGACTTCAAGAAGCTGATCGTGTCGACATACAAGTACTAAAAAATATGAAGAAAGAGAGAGAGAGAGGGAAAGAGAGGCAGATAACAAGCAAAAAAAAAGAAAAAAGAAAAAGAGAGATTAGTCAGTTAAAGCAAAAGCTTCGAGTGTTTTCGCGTGTTGGTGCATATCTTTCGTACAAGTACTTAATGTCGACGTCTGAGAGTCCTATCTCTCTTATCTTTCTTTTTTTCTTTTTTTTCTTTCTTTTTTTCTTCTTTGCCTAACACGACGACGATCCAATCTTAAGATTGCCCGAAGCAAGACCGCGAATGCTTCGTAATTGGAAATAATGAACATGGTAAATTTCGCACTACTTGGCACCTTCTATAAAATACTCGGCCTAGGTCTCGGTCAAATTAAATCTTCCTATACACACGATAATTAATTGTTTCTATGATAAGATTTGGATTAAAAATTGAACGAAATTGATAAATAAATGAATAATTAAATAAGTAAATATAGTTTTTATATATTAAAAATATAATTATTTATTCAATATAAAGATTAGCAAGAATTTTACCAATAATTCAATAGATATAACGTTAGAAAAAGAACAGATTAACGTTCATCAACGAACACTAATAACTTATGAGTAATAATAATAATAAGAAGAAGAATAAAATGTAAATTTGTAATGTCCATCTGTTCGATCGTTACGTCATCCAAAGTTTAAATAGACGACGTTTCTTTGACGTTGCGGAAAATACTAGCAATTTACATACTCGCTTGAGGGCTATCGCGGCGAGTGTAAAGCGAGAACCCGCTAAATCATTCACCGTCACCGTTCGACCTCCTACCCTCCTTAATTTCTTATTTTCCCCTGGGCTACATACTTCTATAACTCTCCTGACCGAAATATCGATTGACGATTACTCTAGAAATCACTCGATTATAGCTTTGAACTTTACGACCAACTCCAGGAAAAACAATCTTTGTAAAACAATTCTGTAAAACAATCTTTTTAAACTAATTACCGAGTTCATTATTTTAAAGGTATTCTTTTAAAATGAACTTCAACAATTACATTTAAATTACTGAAATAAATTCTATTACAGTTTAATAAATGAAATCATATTTTAATCTTCGCAAACAATGATAATCTAGCATTTCCCAATCTGAATTATTACTTGAGAAGTGTTGTTCTCGGGGTATACGGAATTAATTGAATAATTTATATAAAAGAAAGCTTTCTCTTCGTATAACTTTGGTATAAAAAACAAATACCGTAATAAACTAAAGAAATGCTAAAGATTGGGAACCGTTGTGTTCTAAAATACCAGCCTTTATCCAATTTTTATTGTAATATTATTGGATTAATCAAAAAAATTCGTGCTAATTTTATAACGAAAATTCAAAGAAAACACTTTTATATTTATAAATCGGTACGAAGTTTTCCTCCAACGACTAATAACGTTCATTGTCAAGATTTAATTTTTTCTCATTCAAGATATAAATATTCATAAAAAATATGAAAATTCATTGTTATAATTTTTAATGGTAATTAAAAATATAATAACCTTGAAAGAAAAAATAAAAAATCAAGGAAAAAGGCAGAAATAAAAAAAAAAGAACATTTGGAAGGAGAAATCAGTAATATTAGTCAGACAATGAGAGAATTAATCTCTATATTCTTTTACATAAGGACATCTATTAATTGATCAGTTGAAAAGTAAAAGAAGTACAATTAAAGCAATATTTACAATGTTGAAATAAATAGATAATTATTATACAAACAAGACATTGTTTATCTCAAATTAAAAACTAAAATCACTTGTATTTCCTTAACATTTCAGAATTACTCTCAATTACATTTTATATATTTTTTAAAAATTGAAACTAAATTCTACAAAAGTGATGAACGATCCATGTAAGATAGAATATTTGAAACAAATGAAAAACTGAATAAAGAGTGAATAGATATAGTTGAAAAGATAGAAAGAAGAAAGAGAAAGAGATAGAAAGTAATGTTAGGAGAAGGAGAAAGTGACAATGTCAGTAGGCCGATAGTGGTCGAGTCAGAGTCAAGTTATCAGACGGTCAGGAATAAATGCTACCAACCGTACAGCTGATGTTCGTTCGATCAATACGGGGCGTTGCGGCACGAAACGCTCTAGAGTAACGCGTCACGTGGCTTAGCCCGTCCCATTCTGATTGTGAGAGTGAGTCTCCCTAGCAGGAGGAGCCTTGTGTTCCCACCACGTTCAATTTTTCCTTTATTCTCGGTTATCTTTCATGATCGCGAGTTTGAAACACGCCGAAAAACTTTCAACAAAATCGTTCGCAACAACCACCGACCATATTATATTTCTTCTTTCCTTAAAAAGGCAGCATTGAACTCGAAAGGAAAACCGACAGGGTAAGAAGAGAGAGAGTAAGAGAGAAAGAGAGGGGGTGGATTGGTGGATTTGGCGAGGAGGAAGAAAGGGGAAGAGAGTGTTGGAAATTCTCAACGAGCTATGCCGCGCCCTCTCTCTCTCCAATCTAAAAACCTCATCCTGGGAACCGTTTCTGACGTCTTTCTTTTCGATTTCACGCTTTTTACCATTTTCTGTTTCTTTTTTTTTTTATTTTTAACATCACTCTCTTTTTTTTCTCTCCACTACTTTCTTACTCAACTACAACAATGGATCACTCTCTTAGCCAAGAAGGAGTATGTTTTACCCCTATCGTCGAACAACTTTCCTTTTTTTCCTCCTTTTTCTTTCTCTTTTACTTTACGTTTTTAAACTTCTCCCAAAGACTTGTTAGATGAATGCTTCATGAATAATATATTTTAGTGAATATATTATTTTTTTAAATTTATGTAATTTAATTGAGGAATAACTCTATTACTTCGAAATTTTAATGCCGTAATTACTATTTTTAAACGATCAGAAAGTGAATTTGGAATTAAAAGAGAAACGTTGGTTTATTTGAAAATTGTAAAATATGAACTTTTCAAACAACCTATTTAAATTGTTTTAAATTTGAATTTTTCTAAATTTCAGGAATAATAATGTTATCAGGGAAAAACAAGATATGTACTTTAATGTTGACAGAAATCTTGTAACTATGTGAGAAATTGTTTAAATGAAATAAATAAAACGGCGTTCCACTTAAAGTGATTCATCAAAATTATTAGAAAACGTTTACCTAGATTAAGGAAATAAGAAAGGAACGAATGAACGTTCCAATACGTTAACACGATAGGATTAGCACAACGATACATGGAAAATTAACGACAGTCTAGCGTCGCCAGACGTACCGACGCCAAAGTTAACGACCTTCGCGCATAGTGCCGTTGAATATCTAGGGCAAACGCGTTACGTTTTCACCAACGCAATTCGTAACGACTAGCAGGACTAGGACGAGGACGAGGACAACGAGAATGATGACAACGACAACGACGATGACGGTAGCAAGAGTTCCGATTAAGAAACTTTGTGAGAAATAACACTGATACTTTTCTCGTGGTGTATTCTCCAGAGTATGTTTTTGATGCACATACCGAATAAGATCTTCGGCCATTTTACTTAAAGATTACAAAAAAAAAAAGATGAAAGAAAAATATAACAGTTTTACGTTTTAAACTATAATAATTAAAAGCTATTGTTTTTTTGAAACTTTGTATTATTTCTTTTTTTTTTGTTAAGAAATAATAATTATTGATTAAATAAAAAATTATATTAAATATTTTGTTTAGGACTAAAATCTGAATTTTTTCTTTTAAAATAATATTACAATTTAATATTTTTAAATTGATATTCCAATTTTTTGTTCGTTAAATCAAAATCTAATAGAATTTGAAAATTTTTTTTTTGGATTTAAATAATTCTCGCATAATTTATCTTTATATTTTTGTAAGATATTATAGGTTTGCAATTCATAATATTTTGTATCTGTTATAGAAACTCTATTACCTATTTCTTTTTTTTTCCTTTCTTTCTTTCTTTGTTAATAATAAAATCGGCTTAACTTTGAAGATTTCTATCACTCAGAAACTTCATCCTTCACCTAGACTTTCCGATACTTGTCAGATTTCCGATAATCGATGGGATCCTTCAATACTTTTGAAGAAGTGTCGACAACTTCCCTTTTCGACTTTTGAAGAAATTCGAATCTTTATTTCGTCAATTTTGTTCATACAAATAGCCTTCTCAATTTTTTGATTGTCGAGTGTAGCTTGTTAACCGCGTCGTGACATGGTTAGTTCATAGAATCACGCAAAGCTAAGAAAGGTCTACTCTCTCTTTCTCTCTCTATTACGAGGGAATAGGTTATGGGCAAGGGTGCGGTAAAATTGATGCAGAGAAATTGCTAAGAGAAGCATGTCACTAGGCCACGTTCGAGATTTTCTGTTTTTATAAAATATAAATATGTTTATATATAGTATTCATTAAAATGTTTTGAAAAAATAATATTCAGTATTATATTTTCTTTTAATTGAAAAGTATAATACATACATAATGTGATAAATTAATAAATGAAATATATTTTACAAATAATAATGTGTACGTAATTTAATTTTTCTTAAACATTTGTATACATCTATATCTAAATATGTGTGAGTATGTAATCACAATGATATCAAGAAAATAAAATCTCTTTAATTAAACGTTTGTAATTCGGTAACTTTATCATCGACGTATACATATATATTTTCATCATATGGATTAATTAGAATTTCAATTAAATTATACAAATATTTGTATGTATATATATATAGACAGGACACAATTCACGTAAGCAATATTATCCTCTTTCGATATTTCAAAAGATTTCCATATAAAAAAAGAACGAAATACTACTATAACGTTATTGTGACACGATTTACATAAGATGACAAGTCTACTAAGGACTTCCAATGTATGTGTGCATGTATTTGTGTGTGTGTCTGCTCGATCCATATTTATATCCATCGCGTGAATCGTTCTTGACGATAGAATGAATTTTGCATAAATCGATACATCCAGGTAATTCCACTCGTAATTCTTGTATAAAAACAATACTTTAGAAAAAACCATAGATATTTTTAGTATATCCAATACACACACACACACACACACACACACATACACACACACACACATACACACACACACACATACACACACACACACACACACACATATATATATATATAGGGATATATAACGGTATAATTTACCAAATATATTTTTCAACAAATAAATTCTAAGTAACAAACTGTACACCCATATTATTTTATATGTCTAGTAGTATAACAAATATTTTTAATATATTACGTTCTTATATTAAATACATATAGCATATGTTTTCCATATTACGTTCCAGTATCATACTCTTAAATAATTTTTTATATATAAATTAGGTTCTTACAAAAAAAAACGTAAAAATATTTAATAGTCCTATAAACTAAATTTTCAGAGTGATGTTAAAAAAATCATTATATATGCATAAAAAAATATGAAAATAGGAACTCACCTTAACGTGAGATATGTGGCTGGTCGCAATGGACGAGGCAGGTTGTTGCTGTTCGTTGTGTAGATTTTTTCCTTTCTCTCCTTCAACTTTTACGAACTCTCATCTTAACTGGCGACTCTCTTCATCCGCTAGCTCGAGTACAAGACTCTTCAATACTTCATAGCTATTTCAGCATCGACGAGCAGTAATCGTCATCTGAAAAGAATATTACAATGTGAACCCCTTTCATGATGAACTTAAAAACGTTAGATCATACTCTATCTATCTTTCTTGTTTTATCTTTCACCCACACAAATAGAAAATTATTTTTATCACGTTCGAGACCAGTAACGTATTCTCATATTATTTGCAAATTTTTTTGTATTAATAATTTAATAGAATCGAAATAACAGGTTATTTTATTACAACCTTCCATATGCTGGACTCAATACATTTTTATTATGTATAAGTATGAAAAAATCTTAATGCAACCTTTCAAAAATCATGACAAAAATTTACATCCATTTGCATGATATGCTCTGAACTTTTCAACTCTCTTATACGTAGGAAAATTGCTTTTATTTTATATATTTTTATATATAAAATACATTTATATATTCCATGTGTGTAAATGTTATGTCCGATATATAAACACGGCAATGTACAAAATAGCAGGTCATTCTATTAAAACTTATACGTGTTTATTGGATTCCGTAACTTAAAAAATAATATTCCTGTTGCAACGAGACTGTCGAGTTCAAACTATCGTCAAAAACGCATATATGAGAATACCTATATAAATGACGTATTTAAGATTAAATATTAGCAATTGTTTTGTATTGTCGAAGACATTCATGAAACTGTATTGCTTAAATAAAATCTAAAATAAATATCATTATCACTCGAATTATCGCGTTAAATCAATTAGTAATCGAAAGTAATTTTTCAAATGCAAAACTTTAATAGTTAACTCGTTTTCAAATAATCAAATAAAAATAATTCAAATGTAACAAAATTAGTTCGTAAGGTTAGGAATTTGATTATCCTTGACATAACAAAGTAGATTATTATTGATTGATAAGTAACAAATGGTAGATACTATTTGCCATGATCGTTGAATAGTTAAGAGCATTCGTTATTCGTACGAGTTTTTTCTTGATGTGTAATACACATAAAAGAAGTTTAATATGGGCTACACCAACGCATTAGGAAATAAAGAAAGGAAGAATGAAAGAGAAAAGAAGGAAATATACACATAATACACATACACATAGAACGATTCACTTTGCTACGATATCATTGAAAGTGGAACAGGTTGAAATGAAAGTTTCTTACACGCGGTATACTCCTAATCGCGTGTTGCTACCCCCTTATAAAAGCGACATCGCGAAACACCCCTTCATCGTTTACACCCTCTTCAACTTGCACCCTCTTACTTCCTAGTTACTCCTTCAACGTGTTACATATACATACACATGCGAGTGAGTTTTTATAAATTATAAAAATATACAAAACCCATCCACACACCCACACGTTCAATTCTATTTCTATCTTTTATACATTTTTTTAACATATAACAAGGGATTAGGAAACGAAATGCCACCACGTTCGATTTTAATTTGACTCTCGTACTCGTAAGGTTGTAAAAAAAATTCTGATAATCGACGTAGACCTGCCTGGTTGCCAAGTATATACAACGCAAAGGTCAACCTTGACCTCAATTCATAGAGAGAGAGAAACACATTTTTAAATGTTCCTAATTAAAAAGGAAAAAGAAAAAATTGCGTTCAAATCAAAAGGTTGTTACTATGCAAAAATTACATTTTATTTATTTATTTTTTACTTATTTGTTTATTTATTTAGAATAGATAACATTGTTCTACGAAATGTTTCGAAGTACATAAACGGTATGAATGAACTACGTTTTACATTTTTGATCGTCGTTTTGAACTTTCGGAGATAATAAAGCGATTCTCTTTCTCTCTCTTTCTCTCTCTTTCTCTCTCTTTCTCTATCTATCTATCTATCTATCTATCTATCTATCTATCTATCTATCTATCTATCTATCTATCTATCTATCTATCTATCTATCTATCTATNCTATCTATCTATCTATCTATCTATCTATCTATCTATCTATCTATCTATCTATCTATCTATCTATCTATCTATCTATCTATCTATCTATCTATCTCTCTTTATCTTTATCTTTCTCTTTACCTTTCTCCCTCGTTTAACGCTCGGCCGCTCGACTAAAGCTTCCTCGAGTTTGACGATGCGCATTTTTTCGTGAGAGTTTCTCGATGAGAAAAAGAGAGAGAGAGATAGAGAAAGAGAGAAAGAGAGGAAATAGGAAAGGAAAAAAAAGTATTCAACCCCTTTTTTCCGTTTAACAGGGAATACGAGCACCGAGAAAAGTCCACTAATGCCCTTCGATCGCAATTTTCTCGACAAAACGACCAAGATCTTTGCATAAACAAACGATACCTACAGTACCTACGATTGTAGATTTTTAGTCCATGTAATATTTATTTACGAATATTTAAAATGAAATTTCATTTCTCCAATTTTTTCCTGTTTTTAACTTTTAAACGAAGAATTACAAGAAAAAAAGAGAGAGAAAAGGTTCATTTAAGTTTCCATCAAAAGCTCAATTCTCGAAATTCTAGAATGTGATTCACACACATCTACTTATATAGACACACACAATCTGCTCACGTAGATGTATGTAGCTATTAAACGCGTTTATTATTTAGTTCAGCGTGAAATTGAAAACTTTAACAAGTTCGTAATTCGTTGCTCGAACATCGTAATACCCTAAAAATTTCTCTACTTGCACGATTGTACGAATGAACGGACCACGTCCGAACAACAATGGCGAATGGTTGTACGTATGTAGTTACGATAATGGCACGTTATACTATAGGCAGGAAACGTCGCGTTCGTTTCTACGAGAAACCTACCCTCGAGTTTTTTTTAAATAGACCAACGGTAAAGCTTGGCAGACGTTCGTGTTAAAAGAAAGAGGACAGTCGTTTATACGCGACGAAACTTTCTTCTTTCACATTATGTATTATATATATATATATATATGTTTTTATGTTTGTACATGTGTGTGTATGTTTATATATATATATGTATAAGATGAGAAGAAAACATTTAAATATATATATTGAATCAATCTTATACTATTTAGTATTTTACAATTGATATTTTACTAATTGTCAAAAAGAAATGATTGTTTTACAAATTATATATAATATTTATAAACTTTTTACTTTCTTTTCTTGTATAATATGTATATGTTTTTTTACGTTTATAACAAGATTATGTTAAAATAGAAATATATTTGCATACATTCTTAATGTATATCTCAAATAAAATTTGTAAAATATGTCAACGAAATAATACTTCCACTTGACCATTTTTTATTCGACAAAATATGATAAATTAATCTCTTTCTTCGGTGTTTAATTGCTACGTTTATATTCGAAAGTAGGTCAACTGGCTGAAATTAAGTTGAGTAGTCCATCTTGCAGCGAATATTTCCAACTCGCTTACGTAAATTAATGATTAGATTCAGCATCTACGATATAGTTATAATAATCGTCATCGTCATCATCCTCATTCTAGTAATAATAATCATAATAATAATAATAATAATAATAATCTACCCTTCTCGGCTATATTTTGCTTTTTTATCTATTTCATAAATTTAATGAATATAATTTGTATTATAAAATTCATTTATAATATTAATAAAATTTAAGCAAATTTACATTAATTATTATTATAATGTTGAAGGTATCATATATGTAGTGTATGTATAATAGAAATATAAAATATATTTCATTTTGAAGCGTAATAACTATTCGAATAATTTATAAAGATATTTATACTCATAATTATAACGATGGAACAAAAAAAAATGATAAAAAATTTATTTCTTTTATATTACAAGTAATTATTTTTATACATCATTTATTTATTTCATATTACAATTATTTATATCATAAAATTAATGATAACATGAATTTTTTTTAATTTTTTATGAACAACTTAGTCCACTGTCACAATAATCATCGATATGTTCATCGATCGATTTAAATTTGACACCATGGTAAATACCAAATTCCTAATGGAATATACCGTTATTAACGAGAAAGACAGAGAGAGGCTTGAATTCCATAACCAAATTAATTTGAGTAGTTGACAAGTTACTTGGATGTCCCAAAGTACAAACACATTCTCGTAGAAGCCTAACGTGCATTTGCTTATTAAAGGAACTTACACATAGTATATGATAGATATGCATTAACATGTTGGCATTTATCAGGATATTATCCGTGTTCCATGACGGATGTGTAGAAAAGTGTCACGAACAGTGGATATCCCTTTTTGCGATCGACAAAATTATGTGTTTGGAAGGAGAACACAACGAACAAGGACGAATACGCACGAACGACGACGTCCGACAATGTTCGTTCATTTTATTGATCGAACATAGTCATTTATTTTTTCTTTTCAAATCATTTATTTGTATCCTAAATAATATTTCTATAAGTACACACCATTATGCGTGTTTAAATAATTTTTATTATACATACACACGCACACATTGGGTATATAAATATGATTAATTAAATGTAATGATATAAATATCTCATAATAAAAAAAAAAAAAGGATTTCATGATGATCATAATAGAAAAAAAGACGAATAAAACGATTGTAATGCAATAGTCTGATCTTAATTAGAAAAAACAATCTAGGTCATTAGTTAGGCATAGTGCTTTGGAAGTAATCAACATGTTACAATTAAAATGGGCCACTGGGTATAACGAATCGTTGGAAGGAGAGAGTCGTCCAATTTATTTCGGCTCTTTCATCGATCTTAATTTGATTTCATTTTCTAATGAACCTAACTCATTTCCTAACAAACACGAAGGAAAAGATAGAGGAGAGGGATAGGGAAAGGGAAAGAGAAAGGGAGAGAAAAAAGAAAGGAAGAAAGAGAGAGAGAGAAAAAGTGAAGGACATTCAGTGCATAATAGTATCGTTCAAGGATTTCCGCATCGTTCTAGTGTAGGTAGGTTGATAGGTAGATATGTTGGTATACATGTATGTATACATAGGAAAATAGTCGATTTAGAAAAAAAGATATTTTTCACGAAAAGGATATTTTCAATCCTAATAAATGGGGATGTTATAATGCTTA